CCTGCTGAAGTTAGCAGGTTCCTGAATGTCTTCGCATTTGGCTAGGAATTCAGTCAAGCATGAACTTCTATTTTCATTGGGATCCATCAGGTGACCCTTTGCAGGACAACATCTCTAGTAATGCTCAATATGCACCTGCTACCCGAATAGCATTAGAACACTTCACAAGCACTAACATTCACACATGGCAATACAGGCACCAGAGAATTTATGTTCATTCTTTTAAGACACATATCCTAAAGACTCAAACCAGTTACCTGAAATATCCCACAAGACTTTTAGGCATTTTAATTTGGAGACTCTACTTATATTTTCAGATAGACGCTCTCACTCTTCAACTGATTTATGCAGCTTTTATCTCTGATTTCTCATGGCAACAAGAATATTTTCACCCAGTGATAGCTACAATATATTAGAGTTCTTTGTGACCTGAAAACATCTTAAAACCTGGAGTTCTTCAGCAGCATCCCACATAACAATATTTGAATCTGCTTTGATTTCCCTTACTAGAATGGCAAATTTGACTCAAGAAAAAATATAGAACAGCTACAGTTTCAAATGCCCATAACTTAATTATGCTTCTAGTCACAGAACTTTAATGTCTTTCCATTACTTCTGTTTCTGAGTCTTCTAACTGTTCCTAATTCAACTAACTGGAGTGGTGCTGGTTTCTATATTTGACAAAGACGTAAACGTAAGCTACTTGATTTTCATTTGTAGATTATCTTGATATTGTCACTTTTACAAAATGAAACAGTGGGATAAATCAGTTATAACAGCAAAAAAACTATTTGCAGTGTGACTGTCTTGCTTTCTTTTGTGATATTTACTGGACAATATTGTTTACTTTCCAGTTAAATATACAGGGTTCTGTGGAATAATCACATGCCTCCCTACCTTTCAGCATTAAATAAAGATAGCCTAATACGTATTTCATGCATCACTCTGTAAAGTACTCTGGCTCCTTCTAGAGTTATTTTTAAATATATATATATAATTATTATTTTTTTTTTAACTTGGACATTGTGTAGATATCTTATCCCATCAGTTATATATCTAAAATTAACTTTTGACAGTCTTTAGCTGCCTTACTCAGCAGTATAAAATTCTGCTTCTCTTGCCAGAAAATCAGTGAGAGCTATGGAGTATTTTTCAATTCCTGATAAACACTAAAATCTTGTGAATGATCTATTAGTAATACAGCAGATTCCCAATTTGGTTAAAAAATTGTTTTTAGGGAGCATTGCAGTACACAGCAATCTTTTTGTTCATTAGCTTAATATGACCTGGCATAATCAAACACACTAGCAAACATGTTACAAGCTATTTAAAATTTATATACTTTTAAATTGCTTTGGTAGCAGCCAAACAGCAATGTCTTTATGTTTTAGATGATGAAATGGTCCCACTGTTTACAGCTTGGCAAGTATCCGCGTTCACTGATTCCTCACACCACTGCTATCTGGCATGTTCAGCCAGCTGAAAAACTAAGAAGCATTCATTAGGCAGAGCAAACACAAACCACTTTTGAGACCTCTATTGATAGCTTAGTGTGCTTGAGAGACAGCAGTAGCAGGCCCTTGCCATCCTTATAAGTCTGATTAGGAAGAAATATTGGTGTAGGCACTTAGTATATAAGCATTTGTTATGAATGCTAAGGGAACAAAAAAAAATCCACAGACCCCAAAATTAAAAGGTTACAGCTTCCCCATGGGCAGGGGTGTGTTAAATGCAGTGAAGAAAAGCAGAGGTATTCCCAGAGATTTCGTGTTAGCTCAGTGAGTTGGTCAGCCCCAGCTTGGTTCATTATTAAAGTGCTGTAATGACATATGCAGCCTTCCCTCAGCTTTATCACTACAGGCTCAGTTGCAAAGACTTCAAAGATTTCTACCAGCTACAAGAAGAACATGATCTAGAAATATATTTTTCACATCTGCACAGGCTACTCTCCCTTTCAGAATGCCAAAAGAGCTATTACAGGATGAAGAATTACATTAACTTGCATGTAATTTTAGTATGTATTTGACATCAAAATGAAATGACATTAGCTTCCGGCTCCCTCCAAAATATAAAATAGAACCAAACCTTAGTAAATAGTTAAAGTAGTATGCAAATCTGGGATTATACAAATCTGGCTCAAGTATGATTTTTTTTAAATATTCACATGAATTTTCTCATGGCACTCACTTGACTTTACCTGTTATCTTTAAGGCTGATGGCCACCTCTCTTTTAATTACAGCTCTTTCTATGAGAGAAACTACTGACTTTCCCTATATGCAACACATTCTTTAAAAAGTAATAAACTGGCTTGCCATGCTCATTCAAGGGCAGCATAGCAACTATTTGTCCTTTTTTCCCCCTCATTCTTCATGTGCTTGAAGGACAACCTATGTAGGCCATGTAAGAGTCCATTCAATTTTTGGCAATTTGGGAAGATATATACCTCATTTTTTTACAGGAATGAAACAAAACCTTAAGAAGAATACTGAAAAAAATTGTTATAATATAAACATTCATCCTATCCAACATCAGAAGCTTAACTGAGGTGCTTAATTTGGTAAATTAATAATCCCAAGAATACTTCTATTGTCAAACAGAAGAAGGAACAAATGTAGTGAATGAATATATATACGCAAAACTGAGCTGTAAAGCAGTTATGTTATGATATATTGTGCATCATTTCATGGAGCCAGAAGCATTTTGTCATGTTTATCTTAACCAACTCTCACAAACTTTATCACTAAATTATTTGATATCTCATGACAGATGAGGAAGAGAGCACTGGTGGTACTGGAGAAAACACAGCAGTGAGCAACCTAAGCAAACAGCGCTTATTCTTCACCACTTTTATTCTCACTTTGATCATCAGTTTGGCACTTGTTTCATTTGTAATATTCTTAATAAGTAAGTAAACCAAAGAGTGGTTCTTCAAGGTAGGGCCCATTGGAATAAGAACTTTGCTGAAATGTGTCATGCTACCTTATGACATGCTGCTGCTGTATTTGCATGGTCAAAGGCAGCGCATCTTGGTCATCCACTTTCTGAGCTAAAAGGCACAATTTTCTTCTCAGAGCAAAAGTTTTGTGAGCTTCTGTGAAGACTTTATATCAGCAGGGTTATATACTGTGCTGCTTAAAATGGCATCTGGAAATTAAGTTAAATTTTAAAGATGACTGTATGGCAGTGAGATACTTTGACAACATGCCATCCATTCCACTCCAGATAAAACTCAGTATTGGTGTCATTCCACTGAAACTGGAATTATACCCAGGCTAACTTCCATCAGGCTACTTGAAGAAAAACATGAAGGTTGCCAGCTAAGTACTGGCTGGAAATTGGTTTGGAACTAAGAAAATATCAAACATAAGAAACAAAAAATCAGATAAGCTACATCAACACTGGCATGTAGCATTGACCCTGTAGACACATAGTTACTGTTCTGCTTTGGCTGGGCTATGCGGGCTGGCTTATCTAAACAGCTGGCTACAGGTGACCCTGATTTAGGGAGACCTACCCAGCTTGGGGTTTTCAAGGCTAATGGTATCGAGCAGAGTACAAGGTACATTATTTTAACTTACAAGTCCATTTTGAATGAATTGTAATCCATGTAAAATCAGGATTTCTTTTAAGGAATCCGCTGGAGCACAGGAAAAATCCTCATTTTCCTTTTTGAAGAGGAAATCCTAACCTTTGACTGAATTTGCCCACAAGTGCTTGACATCCCTCCAGCCCTTCCTCGTTGGTGAATAAAAGATCCAGCATAGCACCTCTCCTTGTTGGTTCCTCGATTACTTGGAAAAGGAAGTTAGCATCCTTGCACTCTAGGAACATCCTGAGTTGTTTGTGTTTAGCAGAGTTGTTCTTCCAACAGATGTCAGGGTGGTTGAAGTCTCCCATGAGGACCATGGCTGCATGCTGCCCAGAAATAGGATCAAGAAGAGGGGGTTAATGTCCTGTGGACATTAACAGAACAGATGCAGACCTGAAAACTGCAAAATTTCACATTGCCATAGTTGATTTTATCACACTACACTAACATGCATGAAAGGAGAAAATAAGCAATTAAAGAATGTAGTGAGTAGGTAAATCCACCAGATGCAGCACTTCAGCACTTCTGCAGCACTTCTGCAGTTGTTTTCCTGATTAATATATTTACTCATTATAATTACCAACAAACTCGCATGGTTCTCTTGACTTAAATGTTGCCAATTAATGCAGTACAATTTCCTTTTCAAGTTCAAACTAGAAACCAGATGGACCAAATATCAAGCAGACTGATATCTGAAAAGAAGAACATAGAAGAGCTTAAGAAAATGAACAATATTATATTAAAGCATCTAAATCAACCAGGGATTAAGGAAAAGGGGAGATACTTCTTCACACAGTCTCCTAACCTTCATGAGGATCCCATGATAAGCTAAAAGTCCCTGGAGAAATGATCTGCTTTGGAACAAGATTCAGCATATTAATGTATTCCTATTTTCACATATGGCACATGGGTTACTTAAACATTCTGATATTGTCACTGGAGCATTGGAAAATTCAGCCGAAAGAACAATCTTTAAAAATATTATTTTATCCTGTTTTATGTGAATATAGATTTTGAAAACTAAGCCCATATGATTTACAATAAACAATGGATTGTGAACAGTTTTGGACAAGAGTTCCAGATTCTCTATGCATTGTAAATTGCAGGGCTAAGGTCTTAGTTTTACTTTAAATGTAAGTGAAAGATCACAGAAAATAGTGATTTCTGTTCATATGATTCCAGCATGACTTTGTTCACTTAGTCATTCTCCTGTTCCTTTGGAACAAGTTTTGTGTTTTCTTCTCTATTATTTGTATTTAGGGATAATTTTAGATTCCATAACTTATAAATAATCCAATTCTACCATGGAGTTTGTTGGTTTTCCTTTCTGTGCATTTAAATTGACTTACTACTTCTTTTGTGAAAAAATAAACTTCAGTGAAAAAACCCTCTTCACTATATTCAGCCCAATTTTTTTCTGACTGAAAGTGAGTGTCCTGTTATCTTACATGGCAAGTGGGTTTAGAGGACTCAGTCTAATAATACCCATCTCATAGCAATGCCAGTACATTGTACTCAGTATCTGCTGCCAGTATCTGGGTGAAGGCCAAGTGTTTATAAAGTGATGTGAGGAAAATACTACATGTTCTTGTACTCTTTGCTATAGTTGCTCTTGGCCACTATCGGAGAAGGGCCAGGTGAAATCTGGTCTGGACCTTGATGTTTTTAAAATGGAACTTGTCAGACGGTGAAAGCAGAAGCTGACACCTTCTCACTCTGACTTTCCACAGTTGTGGAGACTGAGAACCAAAAGTGTGATCACATAAGGCACTGGTGGGAAGTTTTGTAATGTTAGTATTCAAAGCCTTCCACTTGCACATGTTAAAAGGCAATCTCCATTATCAAGAAATAAATTGGCTACTCCCATCACAACAGTGCAATGGCAGCTAACATTATGGAGTACCTCCAACATCTTCTCTTTTACTTTGAGTTCTCTTTCTCATCCAGTGCTTTCTTATCTCTTCTGGGCAATTTTACAGAAAAAAGTAATCAAAGTGAAGACTTGCATTGTAGTCTCCTTTTGCAGAATTAATGATAGTCCTCTCTGTGTTGACTACTTCATTATCTGCAACAGAGTGAAGAAGTAGGTCCACAAATCTTTATAAGTATTCACCCACCAGTTCTGTTCCTGCTATTAGGAGTGCTTTGCTTTACAGCTGGGTTTTATACCTTCTTTCTATTTCTTGATTTTTTTTTTCCTGATATGTTACTGTCAAGTCATTCACATGAAAACCGTGATGTCGGTCTTCAGAATTTATTACTCCTACTGTTAATTCCCAGCTGCAGTTGTAATTATCTCCTCTAAACATCACAAGTGGCAATTACAAAGATGACTTTAATATAGCTAACAGGGAGTGATAAAAGTAAGTGCAGGATAAGTTCTAAGGAAAGAAAGCTTAAAAGCCCAACCCGAATATCTTTCTGTAAATGCTGTTAAATGATGAAAGAAAAAGTATCGTAAGACTAAAAACATGACACTCGCAGACTGGTTCCTCTATTCTTCTCCAAGCTGTCAGCTGCTTTTTAGTGACAGTATTAAGCTCTCAACTCTCCCACTCATCTTGTAGCTACCATAACTGCTTTCAAGCTTCTGTCGTGCACAGACACACATCTGTACTTGTTAGCCAGGGAGAAACAACTCTAGTATTTTGCACTCTGTGTATCTCAAACACGTGGATTTGTCACAACTCTTGTTGCAACTGCATTATCAGAGCAGTCTGTGCTCCAGTAGAAACTGGCACCAATAGTTGATTTTTTCTGGCAGGAAACCATAAACAAAACCTGTGCTACAGCAACAGCCCCCAAATAAATTTAAGCTTCCTCATCTACCTCATCTTGTCCTGCATATCTCTTATTCAATAAGTACACATAAGGGACCCACCTTTTTGGCCCTAATCTTGATTAGAAGTGTTGGGGTTTTTTTTACTTCATGCTTTGATCTTGTAAGGTGCCAAGTACCTTCAGCTGTCACAGACTTAGGACCAGCTGGGGCATAACAATGTGCAGGTGTGCTCAGTATAACACAGGACTGAGGCCCTGAATCATCCTTTTCATACTGAATCACTTATTCACTTCTAGTGATCAATAATTAAGGTCAGTGACTGAAAAAGTGCAAAGGTCCAAAGGCCTTTGCTCCTTAGGCCCATCCTTTTAGCACTGCTGACTCATAGGACAGCACTGCAAACAGCTGCTTATGGTTTCTCAGCTCAAGTTACCAACATTGACTTACAATGCTTAGAACTGCTGCCCTGTGAGACCAGAGCAGGGCTGAGAGGGCTGCTTTGACAGCAGAGTGCTATGACCACTCCATCCCCACTTTCTGGAGCACCACCCTAAACAGAAGCAAGCAGCATCTACTTCAGGGGAACATTTCTGTCTAATACGCTGACAGTGAAATAGTCCCAAACAAACCAATACTCGACTCTTAAAATCTTCTACAAGCTTGACCCTAAAGTAAATTTCAGATCATTCCAGTGCTCCATTATTTTCCTTTTAAATAAACAGCTAAGTGACTAGTAAACTCCAAGCTCCAACTGCATGTGGCATAATCTCTGTGCTGTACATGGATGTTCCCATGTTTCCTCTAGACTTGGGTAAGATCTCTGTTCTTGTATGGCTGCACATCTCACGACCCTTTGCAATGCCTGGTACCACAACAAACAAGAGAAGGAAGGTGATCTGACAGTCATAGCTTCTTCTTACAGTAGTCACAGCCATTCTTCTCAGTAGTACTGCTTCACAGAAGCACAGTGTGGCCAGGGTTAGAAGGGACCTCTGAAGATCATCTAATCCACCCCCTCTGCTACATATTCCTTCCTTTTTGTTTTACTTGCAGGCTATAGAGGTATTTCTCCAAAGGAATTTGCTTTTTTTTTTTTTCTCTGAGTCCACTGTAAATAAAAATGGTGCACAAAGGGTTGAGACATCACATGCCATTGACTTCAGATCTTCTGCTGAATAAATATGGACAATATTAGAGAGATCCTAGTAAGCAAGGAGAAACACTTAAAAGATTTAACCAAGAAATTATCTTCAGCGCCCATCAAAGGCATCATGGTGCCAGCCTGCCAGTCCCTGCAATGTTGGCCGAATCTTTAGGTCATTAGGTAACATCAACAGACAAAACAGTTCTTTCCCCTGGTTGCTAAGAAATTCACTCCTTTGTTCCAGATATTGACAACAGTCCATGTTCTTGTTAAACCAAAACCATCAAACTGTATCTGACTGTGAAACTAGTCAGTAAAGGGGGATTTTGAGAGGCAGTCAAATCCATGCCTTTTTTACTTAATCTGACAAATGCTTGGCCATTCACATGCTAAAATATTTAAATGAGGGACCTTCCACAAATCTAGTGCTTAAGTAATCACTTTTTTTTTTTTCTTGAAAGCTAAATAAATTTTCCCAATTGAAATTTAAGTCCATTGTTACCTTCCAATTTTCCAGTTATTTTATATTACACTAACCCTGCAAAGCAATTTTACCTTTAAGAAAGCTTTTTTACCCTCTTGAGATACCTGGAATTTTAATATAACACTTATTTTTAAACTCCAGTAAGAGTTCAGTTCATGTGTGTCATTCACTGGCAACAAAACAATGCTGAGCATGGGGAAAAAACAATAATGATGTGTTTATTCTGAATTTGGAAAAAGAGAAAATTCCTGAAGTGGCAAAAGGATTGTCACAAGTTTTGTTAGACCACATGCTCTCAAAGGTGATGAGCTGTGTGTTGCCTACAACCCATACTGTTCAGGAACACTAAATGTGATGTCAAGGTATTTGCAAAATGAGGAGAGTGGAACAGCACTGAACAAAGCAGGAGTTTTCTTATTAATTTCACCTCTCTCACTGGAGTTTCTGCTCTGGGATTCAGAACCTACCCCACTGGAAATGGAAGCAAACCAATGTGCTCCATGAAAGCATTAGCCTTTTGAAAGTGTTTATTTTGACAAAAAAAAATCTGAACCAGCTCTAATTAGAACTCCGATTAAGCAACATCTAGATAGAAAAAATGCCAAACAGCAAGTAAAAATTGGATTTATGTTTTGACTTGTAACTGAAAACCATCTGTCTGAGAAGATGCTTAACTTGATCTTATAGGTTGTTACTGTAATTTAGCTTGGAAGATGCTGGTGCATAATGAAAGCTGGATCCAAACCTTAGATCTCAGCCCAGTGCCACTGGGATTAAGGGAACTATTCAATTAAGAAAAAGCCCATTTGGTTCATGTCGCTGTTCTTATTTTCCTGACAGATTAACAAGAATACTCAGATTTAAAGAGAGGGACAGAGAGGATGAATGTACTGTCATTGCCTCTGGGATACATAACAAACAGTAACACTATATCCAAAGAAGTTAGTCTTATTTGAGAAAAGGTTCAATCATATAATTCAATAAAAGTTTTTTACAGACTCTGTTTCCCACCCTTTCTCTGGTTTCTGGGCCACTCTTCAGCAATCAAAATGCTGTCCACGACTCACTGATCAGCCAGCAAAACCCTTGAATGGTAATGAGAACCTTCCAGTAGAGACAGTCACAGCACAGTGCTGCTGCTAATTTATCACTGTGAGGCAAACTGTGTTACACACAAGGGTGAAAGGACAATTTAAAAATCGATTGCCCGCCAATTTAAAAATCTATTAATGATTATGGGTTTGCTTTTTAAGTTCTGCACTGCTCATTTAATCTTAATATCTTCTTCACCACATAACTGACTTTGGAAAATGGAGCTTGTCTACAAGGTGACACAAAATTTTGAAACTCACAGACACCCTTTGCTTCTCAGCGGAAGTTCCAAGTGCTTTAGTGTTTTGTTTTTTGTGTGTTTTTTTTTTC